CAAGATAATGAGCTGAAAGTTATTGGACCCAATGCTTTGTCTCACTTTACATCCCTGAACGCTTTGAATTTGACGAGCAACAAGATGGAGAGGTTAACGGATGATATGTTCCGTGGTCTCCATTTTTTGAACATTCTCTCGTTGAAAAATAACTCGATAAATACAATTGATCCTGAGACTTTCATAGACCTTATAAGGTTGAAAGTGTTGAACGTCGATGACAACAAGTTGGAGAGGGTGACGGTTGACATGTTCCATGGTCTCGATCATTTGAAGACTCTCTCGTTGAAAAATAACTCGATAAATACAATTGATCCTGAGACTTTCTTAGACCTCAGAAAGTTGAAAGTCTTGTACCTCGATGACAACAAGTTGGAGAGGTTGACGGCTGACATGTTCCATGGTCTCGGTGATTTGGAGATTCTCTCGTTGAACAATAACTGCATAAATACAATTGATCCGGAGACTTTCGTAGACCTTACAAAGTTGAAAGTCTTGAACGTCGATTTCAACAAGTTGGAGAGGTTGACGGATGATATGTTCCATGGTCTCGGTGATTTGGAGATTCTCTCGTTGAACAATAACTACATAAATACAATTGATCCTGAGACTCTCTTAGACCTTACAAAGTTGAAAGTCTTGAACGTCGATTTCAACAAGTTGGAGAGGTTGACGGATGATATGTTCCATTGTCTCAGTAATTTGGAGACTCTCTCGTTGAAAAATAACTTGATAAATACAATTGATCCTGAGACTTTCTCAGACCTCGCAAAGTTGCAAATCTTGAACGTTGATGGCAACGAGTTGGACAGGTCTACGACTGACACTTTCAAATTGATGCGCTTTTTGATAATTTCTCATTCACCGAGACAATTGAGTTTTGATGGAACAAAGTTAACAGTACATAGACTTTGGCTGCGATTTTTTGGAGACGTCATGGAAAATAATCCACCGGAGGAACTAAGGAATCTTTTTATTAGCGTGTCAAAAATGCTACGGCCCAAATTGTACTGGTTGTAACGTATGTCACGTTTACATGTGCGATTAATTGTAAGTGAATTTAATGTACGGAGCGTTGGTTACGTCGTTGTCGATAACCCTCGCTCTCTCCGAATCGGACCACCGGACTGACCACCGGTCTCCGTAATCAGCTATAATAAATCTCACTGAATCTAAACCATCCGTTATTAATTATTGTCCGTGGCTAGTAATGCCACAACTACCAGTTACAACACTGGTACTGACTAATTTGTTTTGCTTCTTCCGTTTTTTTTCGGGTTCGATCTGTCGGCGCTAGGAGAACTGCAAATTTCATCTACAGACGGTATTTTTTTTTATATTCATCATATTTTTCTCATTTGAAATATTAATTCGGATCCTTCGTCTAATTTCCCAATCATTTACGTTGCATAGACCTGTCCACACGAGACTTGCGAA